TGTGTTTATCTGCAGTTAGTTACACGAATTCAGATATGGGATGAAATCGTTTAGGGATGAACGGGTTTAAGAGTTTTTAAAAGTTTTTAAGAGTTTTATCCAAATATTTTATAAGATAGTATAGATTAAATATTTTAATAATATAATATGCATCTTTCACTTCCTATGAAAAAACCAAACTCCAATTTCCTATATTAATTTTTATTATCATCGACTACGTATAAAAAATCTACATTATTTTACTATATACATATTTACATCAGGTCATGTTTTTATTTTGTTATTTCCAAAAAGTAAAAAAATATTATTAAAATAAAGTATATATGTTATATTATAAAACATTTGACAAAAACTCTTAAAAATCATTTTTCATGCATGAAGTACCATTTATTAATGCATATTACTTAAAATTCAAGATTACAAATAAATTATGCGTAGTACAACTTATTAAAGCTTCATGTTTGAATTCGTATAACTAACTTCAGATAAACACAATCAAATAGCTGATAAACATCTCATTTTAAATATAAAAAATTTAAAATACAATTTGGATAATCATTGACTTCTAACAAAATACTTAATTATTATCTTTATAAAAAATTATATTATTAAACCAAAAATAAAAAAAATGAATTAAAGAAATACATAAAAAAGAAGAAATTTTAAATAGTTAGTTTGTTACTAATATCAATATTTTCTTTATTTTTTATAATATCTTCGTATTTATATTTTATTCAAAAACAAAAACATTATCGCTTCTCAAAACCACATAAAACCGTATTATAATCTCGACTAAGACAAAAAAAACGAAACACTAAAATCGAGATGTATCTCGCTGCATTGTGCGAGTACCCTTCTAGTATTTGTTAATGTAGGGAGTCAGATTTGAGATGTCTAAATCATCAAATTAAAGTAGCTATTAAAGTTGAAAATAAGATGACGTTTAGTTCACAAAATACAACAGGGGTGAGGTGAATGTACCCTTAGAGCATCTACAAAAGTCATTAAAGACTTTTTACTTTCGACACATCAACTTTCTACATAAGACTCATTGATACAAAAATATAATGACAAGAACAACAAAAATCAATTTGTTAAAAAAAAATGAAAGACGATGAATAAATTATATGATTTTTTATCTATACTACCTTATTAAACATTTATACTCAAAGTCTTAAAGTCTTAATTTTTTTAATACCCAAAATACCCTTTCTTCCTTTACACCCATCCCCTCTCCCAACATTCCTTAAAAATGTACAACATCTTTATGCATAATCTATACAGTACCACCCTTTAATGCTCTCCACTACTCTGCGCATGCTCTCTACTACTCTCCTCGCATGCTCAATATCGCACGCTCTCCTCTTCCCAACACAACTCTGCCCATACTATCGCATGCTCTCTTCTTCTCAACACAACTCTGCCCCTGCCCATACTATCGCATGCTCTCTATCAGGCGACTTATAAATGATTCGCTCCATCGCCCAACCTCCAGTTCTCTTCAAAGTTCTCCCTCAATCGCCCTGCATCTTTCGCTCTCGCTTTGCATCTCTCGCTCTGTCTCTGCATCTCTTCACTCTTCGCCCCTGGTATGATTCTTAAATGTTGAGAATTGCTTCTTGATTTTATTCAAGGTTGCTTTGGGTTTTAGGGTTTAATTTTTTCCCCTTTGTTTTGGGTTTGAGGGCTTGAAGCAATACAACGGTTTGGTGTAAATCCTCAGCATATCACTCCACCATGTTTGCTCGATTACTCCATCTCCACAAGTACATTTAATATCAGGTTTGAAATCTCCGCTCGATTTCTACATCTCCTGTACAAATTTATCATCTCCAGGTTTGAAATTTATCATCTCCGGATTTCTCGAATTCTCCACTTAATCTCTCATGTCCAGGTTTGCTCGATTATTGGATTCGGCTAAATGTGTTAAATTTATTTGATTCTACTGCTTCTGTGTTTGATTTTTTAGATTTCTTGCCTTTAATTTCTTTGTCACCATTTTGATGAAGACCTAAGTGTTCGATCAAATCTTTCCAATGAGAGTTTTTGGTGTTGACCGGTCTTTCAGCGCCGAATACTTCTTTGTAATTGGTATTTTGTTTAGGAAGGTATGTATTTTTATCTTGGTAAAAGGGTTTGCAAATACTTGCCTGTGTTTGCTTTATATTAGATCTGCTATTCATTGACTTATCAAAGAGAGAAAAATTGTATCTCTGTTGTTCTCCCATTTACTTTTGAAATAGAAGTGGTACTTGGAGAGAGTCAATTTTATCAGGAATAATTCAGGAGAGAGTCAGCAGGGTATGATCATTGTAGCAAGTAATTTTTTTTTCCCATGAGGTGGCATGAGGCTCTAGCGGTGGGCTGCAGGAGGAGGAGTTAGTAGTTGATGTATCAAATGAAAGCTGACAATGCATCAAATGACCATATGGTTGAGATAACATTTTTAAGCCCTCTCTTCCAATGGAAGATCATGATTCGTTTCTGGTTATAAAAGCTGATTATTTATATGCAAATTTGGTATGAATTTTTGATGAACTTCAGTACCAATGTTATTTTATTTGTAGCACTTGTAAGGTTTGATGGAARTAGCAGCTTTTCTAAAGGAAGTTTGGAAACCCTATTTATTGAAGTTGAAACCTAACTTATTTTTGAAGTTGAAACCTAATATAGTAACGAGGGTCTGTCTGTCAGTTAAGGTMAAAAATGGACTGATTTGGGATATTGCAAGTAAGTTTTTAATTAAGGGTTGATGATAGAGTCAGCCGTATGCTTTTGCCTGAATTGATTTATTTAATACTCTTTACAGATTGRGGTAGTGAAGAAATCAGTTGACCATGCTTTGAGCTGCATTGACCAATGGATGTCCCCAAAGAAGGTTTGCAGGATCCTTCTTGTTTTCTCAGTTATAGAAGATCAATACTTATAAGTTCAATTTAATGATGTACTGCATAAGAACATGAATTACCCTATAATTTGCTTGAATTTTCAATGGAGTGTTAGTTTTTTATTTAAGTTGGTTCCACGGGTTATAATTTATTTTCTAGAATTGTAAGGATTAGTGATCCATGTAACTTTGAGCAATAGCCTTGTAACTATATTTATTTTACACTAAATGGCCCCCTTTTTATTAATAGAAGTATTCCACAAAATGGAGTTATGGGAAAAAGGGTGTAGGTATTGCTATTTATTTGCTGCCAGCATAACTCATGTGGCTTAGTTTTATGGTGTGTGTATTAGTACTGTATGTCGTTCATTGATTAAGAAAGCTAGCATGTTAATGATTTGCTTCTATGATGTGTATATTATCATTGCATATCATTCATTGATTAAACTAAAGCTAGCATATTAACAATTTGCTTTCTTTTGTGCTATAAATCTTATTCGGTCCTACTTTCAGTTAGTTTGGTTCTGAGATAAAGTAACTTTCATATGCATACACTTCTTACAAAATAGAAAAAGTTCAAGAAAACCAAAGTTGACAAAGTATTTAGACGTTATAGAAACAATATTCATAAGATTACTCCTATCTTAGAAGAGAAAATGTACATGCTTTTCTTGTCTTTACCACATCCCCACTTGCAAGGAGCAACTGCATTAGTTAGATTGAACCTGTGGATGAAGATGTTAGTTGAGCAGCAAGTTCTTTCTTTGCTTTTAGACACATGATGTATTTTATAGTGAAGTGCAACGAGGTTCCACTTGGACTACTTTAAACACTAACTAATATTTTATATATTAAGCTATGGTGAGGCATTCTTTGGCATYTAGGACTACTTTAAACTTYTTAATAGAATTTAGGTTGCTAAGTGGGTTCATTTTATTTTTTATTTGGTGGTGGAGTTTAAATATTTCTTTCATGATATAAGCATGTTGAATGCATGATGTATGTATTATGTAATGCTCTTGCACATAGTGCCGGTAAATTAACATGCCTATATATATATATATATATATATATTTCTGAGGAGCAAGTTCTTTTTTTGCTTTTAGTGGAGAGAGTGGAGCTAGTAAGATTGAAAGAACAAAACAGCTGATGCGATATCTTGCTTACATGGGAGGTAGAGCAGCTTCAGAGGGAAGGAGTGTCGAACAGAAGGTCCTGGAGGTGATCACTCATCACATTTGGTCATCCTCGGGAACTTTTAAGAACGGAGATGATTTTGATTCTTGATTTGATGTCTTTGATGACACATTTAATCTTATTGAGACCACTTAAACTGTTCATATGTCTTATATGTTGTAGTCCAATCCTGTCTTAGAAGCTTTTGGTAATGCGAAAACTGTGAGAAACAATAACTCAAGGTGAGGTGAGTTATTGTCTATTGCCACCATTTCAAAGTGTTTTCAATGTGATAATTGAAAGCTTCTTCCTTGATTGCTGGTTCAAAGTGCACWGAAATATTGGCYCAATTGTTCATATGTTGTGCGTTGGTTGGCATTGTACAAAAATATGTATTACCAATGCTTTATGTGCAAATTTGCACCCTTCTGCATATTCTGCTTCTATTGATCCTACATTAGAA